GTTTCTTACTCTTATTAAGGGTAGGTTTTCCCTCACCCCCTTATAGAATTGAAGGGTTGATCAGTCTAATTTGTTAATATTAATTAATTTGACGATAAATGAAACTGTTTACCATTATTTCGGGATAAATTTAAATGTTACGTAAGAAATTCGATAAAAGGGTGGTCACCCTTAAATCCTCAAACAGTCTCACTTTTGTTTTGGATGCGAGTGTAACATATATTTTTTTCAAAATTTTTGAATAAAATTTGCAATTATCTGGGCATTTTTTTAAATTTTTGTTTCAAATACAGGGGGTGGTTTACCCCTTAAAAATGATCGAACCGAGTCGAAAATTTTTCATTTTTCATATCTCTTGATGATGCAACTATTTTATTTGGTTCGGGCCGAAAATACTAAATCCATACATACAAAACAATTAAATCGATACCCATAAATCCAAAGGGGTGTAAATATGGTTTTCCGCCGATAAAAAAAAATACGTATGTCTTATTTTTACGTCTACTACAACATATTCAAAAATTATCAAAATCGGTGATTTACATTTGGGTAGTGTTACTTGTTAGAACTAACGAAGACTTTGTACGTCAAACAGACTCTGATTATCATCAAGGAGAACCCACAATTTTACTCTCTGTGCCTAATTTAGGATTAGTGTCAAATATTGCTCTTGATTATACACACTTAATTTGTTTGGGCGTTGTAAAAAAAATGATATTGTTGTGGATGAGTGGACCACTAGCTGTTCGCATTAGTGCTCAAGCAAAAGACAATATTTCACAAAGACTTATTAATTTAAAAAGTACAGTGCCTAAAGAATTTTCAAGGCGATCTCGAAGTTTAAGTGAAGTAGCATACTGGAAAGCCACAGAATTTCGGCAATTTTTACTTTACACTGGACCTATTGTTTTAAAAACTGTTTTAAATACAGACGTATATACACGCTTTTTTACTTTGCATGTAGCTGTATCAATACTCATCAGTCCAACGCTAATAATAAATAAAAACAATATAGATTATGCAGAAAAACTGTTGCAACATTTTGTTCAATCATTTGAGAAAATTTATGGTAAAGAATATATATCTCATAATGTACATAATTTATTACACATCTCAAATGAAGTTCGAAAATTTGGGCCACTTGATTCTTTTAGTTCATTTAAATTCGAAAATTTTTTACAAATTTTAAAAAGTTTTCTGCGCAAAACAGAAAAACCATTGCAGCAAGTTATACGACGATACACAGAAAGAAGGCTAAATCAATATGAGAGCATGAATAAACCATTACATTCACTTCATAAATTTGAATTAAAAACAAGACATGTTACTGGTTTTTTGACCGATGAAATTCAAGATATTGTTGAATCGCAATACAGGAAACTAATATTATTAGGAAATTATGAAATTGATTGCAATAGCGAAGCAAATAATTGTATTATGACAAAAAGTGGAATCTTACTGATAGTTAAAAATGTCGTTAAATGTACCAATAATACAATATATGTTGTTGGTTATCAATTGAGGAAAACAGATGATATTTTATATTCACGACCATTCTCATCAGACAATTTGGACATATATATTGTTGAGGAAATAAATAGCAACATAATATCTTGTCCTTTAAATGAAATACAAGGAAAAATGTGGAAAATTAAATTTAATTCAAAATTGTATGTCATTCCTATTAGACACGTTTGTGGACAATAAAACAATTTTTGAAGCATAATACAATACAACAACACATGATTATAATACGATAATTCTAAATATAAGCAACAAAAGAGTTTAAGTTAATATTTTTTAATTAATTTTAATAAGTAAATATTTAGTTTTATGTTTGTAATAAAACTCATGAATTCAAACTTACATATGCGCAATTGTATACACAAAATCGATTGGTACTGCACGCTGTATGGTTCATGATAAAAGAAATTATATATTTTTTATTTTATTTTTCCATCATCGCATGGTTGACAAAATTCTGACTTCAATAAATCAATATTTCAAATGGCTATCAATTTACGATCAACTTTGTCGCTTTTATCCTATTAACGATCAAATTTACGTCTGGTTGCTGGTCTACATTAGTGTGTATCGTGGCCGTTTCAATCACTTGTTCATTAATATAAATGAAGGAATAAATTAACAGGAATTTAAATTAGAAATGTGCATTATACAAATTTAATCAAAGAGATTTGCACATATGTGACCACTCGACGAAACTTGTCCATAGTCTTGTATGTATACATAATAGACTCATTCCGTACAAGTCTTCACTTTTTATAATTCGTCTCGTCGAGGTTCGAGATTATTTTCAATAAAGGTAAATAACACATTTAGACACTTTAAAATCGAATTAAAATTAATTGTACTTGATTTATACATACGCGATTGCATATCATTATTAAAATTAAAGTATAATTTATTGTAATAAATCGTGGTTGATTTTTGCAGGTTATGTTACAGTCAGTGCATTAGAATATGATTTTGATTTATTAAAGAAAAATTCTTTGTTTATATGCAGTATGTAAAAGATTTACATTTGGACATATACAGTGTCGTATACAGGGTGTTCAAAAAGTCCCGGACCGGTGAAATATCTCGAAAACTAAGCATTTTAGAAAAAAATGTTTCAGATAAAAGTTGTAGGGTTTCAAAAGATCTATTTACTGATCTTATCAGTTTGACCTTGGATGGCGTCGCCAAGGTCAGATCGAAATCACATTAACTTTTTTAAATGGAACTGCCTACTTTTTATTGCATATTCTTGTAGCTTATCTCGAGACCTTTCCAAAACACTATAAACAAATGTATTTTCGTTAAGTATTTTTCGAGTTGTGAAGCTTGAAAGTTACAGTACATTACAGCTTTCAAGCCTCACAACTCGGAAAATACTCAACGAAAATAAACTTTCTTGTAGTGTTTTGGAAAGGTCTCGAAATCGGCAAGGTTAGAAAAATTCAAAATGACGGATCCAATATGGCGGTTGAAGGTTAAGGTCAAGGTTAAGCTCACAGCCAATGTCACCATCGAATAGTCTACAACTTTCCAAACAACAGTCCAAATTCGAGAAAATTAAGAATTTTTGTCTACCATGTTAGATTTGTCCGCCATATTGAATCTACCATCTTGAATTGATTTCAGATTCGAAATCAGCAACCTAAAAAACCCCCAGAAAAAAATTTTGGTGTATTTTAGTTTACAATTGTCGTCTACCACTTTTGGCACAAAATTTGGAAAAAAGCCACTTAACCGGTTAAATATTGAGTTGTGAGACTGCAGTAATTCTATCTTTAAATCGGGTTTATTTTACTTACGCTAATGTGAATATTAGTAGTTCATCAATTTGAATGTTCATCATTGAGTACTCTTCTTGCTTCTGCCATTTCATTATTACTTTCAAGAACTGTGTGTAACTTTCTTCTCTGATACAGCTGTTTTTTCTTTGATAGCTTATCTCTGTAATTTTTAATCAGGCGTCTTTATCGCTGTTCATGTTGTTTTTCTTTTCATTTTTTGAACGTCTTGGATTTTTCCTACACCTTAAGATAACATGGCTCCTCTCACTGAACGTGAGCGAATACTTATTCTTATGATGAAAGGCTATGGAAATATGACGAGATCTAATGAAGATGTACAGATTTTATTCAACGATACTTTTAGGGTAGGAGCTGAACAGATATCCAAGTCGACTGTACAAAGGACAATTGCACGTTTCAATTTGAGTGGAAGTGTAAAGGATCTTCCTAGATCGGGTCGCCCTGTTGCAGCAACTAATCCAGAAAAACAGCTGGATGTTGCTCTCTCAGTTATTGAAGATCGTCACAGTACGGTTAGGAAATTAAAACAGCAACATGATATTAGTGTTGGATCTACACATAATATTTTGACAAAAAATTTAAGGTTCCATCCATACAAAATTAAACTTGTACATGAACTGCTTGAAGATGATTCTGATAGACGCCTTCAGTTTTGTGAATTGATGATGGCCCAAATAGATGCTGATGGAAATTTATTGAATAGAATTTTATTTTCAGACGAAGCTACGTTTGAACTTAATGGCAATGTCAATAGGCATAATTTTAGGTTCTGGAGCGATAACAACCCAAGATGGATGTCTGATACTCGCAATACTCAATATCCTGAAAAATTGAATGTCTGGGCCGGGATTATTAATAACAGAATAGTTGGGCCCTTCTTCATTGACGGAAATCTTACTGCGGTGAAGTACGAAGAGATGTTGCGAAATACAATCATACCGGCGATTCAGGCAATTGTGGGCGATGATTTTCATCAGACGTGGTTTCAGCAAGATGGTGCAGCTCCTCATTATGGCCGAGATGTTCGTGCCTACTTAAACACAGTATTTCCAGCGAGGTGGATAGGGAGAAGAGGAGCTATAGAATGGCCAGCCAGATCCCCTGATCTTACACCACTTGATTATTTTTTGTGGGGTTATCTCAAAGATAGGGTATATCGAACGAAACCAGCAAACCTCGAAGAACTTCAACAGAGAATAAGAGATGAAATTATTGCCATTGATGCAGACATGATTCGCCAAGCTGTAGCAGCATTTTACAACCGCATAGCGTATTGCCAGACAGCTGGGAGCGAAAACTTTGAACATTTGCTCAAATAAATAACTTCCAATCCTGCTGCAATTGCCTGGCTTTACCCTTCCATCCCATAAACGGCTGGGATGCTCATCAGCCTTGCCTTCA